TAGGAAAATTGAACTTTGTTAAGGGCACACCCCTCTTTTTTTAACCATTTCTTTATCAGCCATTTACAGTTTTGACTTTCCTACGAGGATGTACAAGATCCTGAAAGCCCAGTTTTGGCTACGAACCATTTTGTATTTCTCTCATAATAACAAGAAAGTGAGGCTTTTAGGAAAGCTCAAAATTATTTTTCAGGTAATAGTTTTAGGTTTCTACAATAAACATTTGTACTACCACATCTTGGTTACATTTTAAAACCAATCAGAATTTTCTAAGATTTGAACTGGTAGAGAAGTGTGGTACAAATGGGCGTCTATATTTTGACCCATAATCTTAAGCTAATTCTTCGTTAACTCCATATATCGATTTGAAACTTGCATTATAAGGTGACTAACTCGAAATACATCTCTTCTAGAAATTCCAGCAAGTCTAGATAGTTGAAAAAAATGTTTATCGATCACCTTAATAAATCAAAAGAATATATATAGATTGATCGACTTTTTCTCATACATAGACCCGCACACCCTTTCTTTTATTTATATTGATAGCTTCAATTCATTCAATACTAGGGAAGTAGAATAGTTAGTCAAAGTTTGAGACAATGATGAACTGTGAATAAAGATAAACAGAGAAATAAATTCATTTTACATGTAAGTGTCATATCACGATATATCTATAGTTTACCAAAACAAATTCCTGAAGATATACGTCGAGTTGGTTCAGCTACAACACTTGAATTACTTCGCGGTGATGTTGGAAAACGATGGAAATTATTAAAACATACGATTGTTGCATGGACTTCATTACCTATTTTTCGATATTTTTGTATGTAACGTTTGTCTTAACATTATTCAATAAATTTTAAAAATATTCAGATCAAAATAAAGATTCTGAAATTCAAAAGACATCAAATCATATACAACCACAATCAAATATTCATCATGAATCAAATGATTCTACAATAAATCATGTACGAAAATTAGATATTGAAGAAAAACGAGAATGGATACAACGTCGAGAACGTCTTCAACAAATAATTAAATTAGATCGTGTAAATTTTATTCCAATTACTAAAAAAAAATCCGTTGAAACAATGCTTAAAAATCAACGAGAGAATTTAGGTATAACAATGCCTATACTTGGTCAATACAGTCGAAAATATATGCAACATAGACCAATATCAAACTTCAATCATTTACAAATTCATGGTGGAAAGGTATAAAAAAGATCCTACTTTACTGATCAAAGAAAACTATTCAGTTATTCATTTTTCTAGGCTATTATCTACTCATTATTACCATTAGCATCATCACCAGATAATATTCCACGATTTACATTAGATTCTGACGAAATTCAAAATGATATTTTATTAGAATATGTTGATACAAAATTCCAAGACAATGAAGCAAACGAACATTTACAACAACAACGAATTGATAAACATTCAATGATTCAGTCGAATGAAATTTTTCTCAGTGATGATAAATTACCAAGAATTAAAAGAAATCAAGATATTCAAATATGTCCATCAATTAAATTACAAACAAATACTTTTTCATTAAAATAAGCTTTTTTCTCTTGAAATGCACTCGTGTGTAGGTTGTTCAGGTTTAATATAAAAACATGAGAAAGATATTAGTGAACATCTTCAAGAAACCTTTATGAAATATTTCTCGTTTTTTTGACTATCGCAGTTAGACTATTGAGTAGATGTTCATTTTTTAAATGTAGCCAAAAACGAAGTCTTAAATGCATTTGGAAGTGTTCTAAAAAGAGGCAAACATGCTGAACCATTTGTTATGCACTATCCGTTAATCGTTGAGTTGAGTTGAATGCTTGAATTCACGATTATTTTTTCCAAAACACAATTTTAATATAACCCACCTTATTTCTGTTTATAATTTTACTTCTAACATGTCCTAATTATTACTGTTATTAAATAAAAAAAAAAGAAAAATACATGTTAGTATATAGTTGTACATACAGATTACAGCATATTAAAATAGATTATGTATATTTTCATTCGAATTTAAAAAGAAGAACATCACAGTATCTCACGTGTAATCAACTATTCAAAATTAACTGAAATATATGTCGATATTTTACCATTTACTTTCATGCTAATATGATTCAATGATTAGCACAGCAACTTTCATGATACGTCGGTATCATCATTCATTAAACACTGCCTACAATGGAATGCTCATCTTGATGAGGATTCTGCCTCAAATTAATATATGATTTTTCTTAATTAATTACTTACAAAATCGGAGGTTTTATTAGTATATTTATATCAAAACATGCCTGTATTTCAGAGTTTTGAACTGAATAACATTAATAAAGAAGAAACAAAAGAAGAGCACCCTGGTGTATTTGTTGGTTTAGATCTAACGTCTATCAATCGATGAATGACGTGAATTTCGAAGAAGAGACAAGAAAGTAAACGATAAAAATTATTCAATATTGATATTCTTTTTTTCCACTATTTTACTATTCTTGAAGTCCTTAGATTTGTTCGATGATCATTTCTCAATTTTTTGTCACACGCACATAGAAACGTTCGTATTTTGTAAATTGAAATACTCAATAATAAGAGTATGTATTTGAACGATTTCGAGATCGACGATAGAATTGTGCTTCAGAATTTCTTGATTTTTTTTAATATACTGTTAATGGCGATCAGTTTAGTGACATCTGAAATTTTCAGGTCGGTTTGATAGTTTTTTTCATTTTTTAATCGCTTCTTGCAAATTTTCTTCGAAAAAAAGAACTTATGTCTTTCGAAATGAGTTTAATGCACTGAATCATAATTATTAGTGCGTCTATTGCTACAAAAAGTAGATAAACAAGAAAATTTTAAGCATTCAAAAAAGTTTAATTCGTGGAAAAATAGAAAAAGACGATTTTCAACAAAAACTAATTAGTGTTTCACATGACACCCTACTGCTAAAATTATTAGATGATATAACTTTTTGAATTTAATCATTGGTGAAAATATCCAAACATTTTCTAGCTGTCACATAAAACGCACTCAAAATTACTTCAATAAGAGAAAACTCATCAGGGATCCCTACTGGTTTAAAAATTGGAAAATTACTAGTAGGAACATACTACTAAATATGATGATGAACAATTTGCATCATACCATGTTAAAGAACTAACGAGGGAACCTTGGAAACTTGAAAATATCTTTTGAATTCGAATCATGTGCATAAGGTTAATTTCAAAATGACAAGGATTCCTAGACTTTTCCTACAAAGCTACAATTGTTTTACTGAAATTTTAGACTCCAGTACTATGTATACAAAACGATAGAATAATAATATTGTGTCCTAAAGTTTCGTCCATGGAGAGATCTACTAGTCACTAGAATGTTCTGAAAGTTTCAGCTCAAAAGATTGTTCCTGTCATGAGATATTGAAACCTTTAAAAAAAACATGAACTTCCCAAAATTTTTCGCGGAACATGAGTGATTTTTTTCGAGTTGAATATCTCTTGAAGGAAGAATCCTTTTAAGCTAAAATTTCTCCAACATTCTAATTACAACGAAGCCTACCTGTAGGCAAAATTTCAAGTTAAATTATTGTCATTCAATTCTTGTGTATATACCATACTAAAGTCTATAATTTCAGTCAAATGACTATAACTTTTTAGGAAATGCCTATGAGTTCTTATACATTTGGGGGTAATATCCGTACTAATCTGTCAGGTGTAGTCTGAAATGTCTTGAACATCTTTTAGCATGGATCGTTTTTTCGACGAATTCCATCTAGTCGACACAACAGAACAGTGAGAGAAACGAAAAGAGACAAAACGATGGATTCGAACATTTGATCCGATAGTATTCAGTATTCGACAAGCCTTATGATATATAAGTGAAAATAATCGAAGACAAACTCTTTGACTAGTCTGAAATGCTGTCAACATATTTAACGAATTTCTATTTTCATAGAGTTCATCACACGTAGTACGTATTTGAAAAATATTTTTTCTTATATAATTCAATGAACTGTATCTAAACATAACGAGGAGTAAGAAATAAATACTGCTAAAGTTTCGATTTATGGGCGTAGTATATTTCATTGGAAATACCTTTAAATTTGAATATATCTTCGTCTGTGCACATTACGGGCAGTTCATATATTAAATTTATTAGTTTTGCTGACGCTTAGTTTGCATAATAATTCGCCTTGATATCTGTGAGATAACATTAAAACAAAAAGGACTCATATTTTATGGTTTTCTTCAAAGTAATCTCGACATATGTTTATTTTATATGATTAACTTTGGACAATACCGTTCCTTGAGAAGAATCTTGTACGACTTTTCTATAGCATTTTGATTGAAAAACATTCTACCGTGAAAATGATTGAAGATCATCGTTTTGCTATTCAATAGATTTTTCGAAAGGCAGATAAAATGTAGATGTTATCTGCGCAGAATGCATTTCGACAAAGAAAGCATGAAAAATCTGACAAACATTATATGTTTTCATAAAGAAACTTTAATAATGATAATATTTCTCAAGGATGCAATAACTATTTAATACTGTCTCTGAGATACTTTCTGATAACACTAGTAAAGTATAGCATCAAAATGTAACCAATATTGATCACTATAACTTAATAAAGCTTAATTTTTCAAATTTCTTTTTATCAGTTTTTGACCTCAGTTTTTTTTTTGAAAAAGCTCGAAAAAATCGGAGCATTTCTGTGGAAATAAAAGATCCATTGTTCTGAAGAACTATGTCAAAAATAAAGAAACATGTGGTATCGAGTATGATATAGATGTTACGTTAGATGGTGTCTCTTCTAACATAATAATGTCAAAACAATTGTGTAATTAGATGAACACCGATTGAGAACGAAATATATTGCATACGTCCATTTGATCGAAAGCTTGCAGCACTTGCTGTTTCACACATTTTTGCTAGATTCTTTACGATGGATAATCTTAGAAAAAGTTCAAAAAACTGATTTTCTGATTTCAGCATCGTCATTCAAATCGTTCACCTTGATTTTGAACAATACATTGACAAATTTTCATCAATGACACACTTCTTTCTGTTACAGAGCTATGGCAGACATGAAAGAAAACTTCTTGGATCTCACGCTTTGATCTGAATGCAAGATTCTACAGTGTATATCATTTTATTGCATCATATTCTTCAATTTACTAGATAAAATGATCCTTGTTGATTGAGACTAATCCTTTTATGATTAAGATTGAGCTGAAAAATTTTCGATCATATTTAGTATCATATAACAATACATTTATAGTAGATTTTTTGGCTTAGTTTATATTTTCGTTTTAAGTACCTCAACATGAAGTATAGAATGAATATTTGAGAATAAAAGAGAAAGAATTTCAACGTTGTTCTTATGTCAATAAATTAAGACAGTATGTGTATTAAACTTCATGTTTTTTTTTCATAAACTTGAATGAAACTGTACGAAAAAAAAAATACAATGCATCAGCAAAAATCATTTAATAAAATAATATAATACTTCTGTTATATTTTCTTTAATATATGATGATTGATGTGGTTTATTATAGTCGACCTTCTATGTTCAAGTCATTTCTTTGTTCTCTTTGTACATTTATGGATTTCATTATAATCGAGCATCAATATATATATATATGTACAGAGAGAGACAGACAATTGTTTGTCTATCTTGAAATATTCCACTTGACTTTGTCTTATATTTAGTCATAAACTATATCATGATCAAATGTTTTCATAAGTAAAAAGAAGACAGAAAAAAAGAACATAAGTTGTCTCGCTATAGGGTATACCCTTTACTAATATGTGTCCAGTCAATTTTTTGATTCGTTGTCCTTTCGTTTCTTCTTAACATAACATTACGGGCAATTGTATGATTACTATAGAATAACTACATTCTTTTTTTTTTCAACTCACATGATCATTCGTCGTCTTACATATGTGCAATATATGAAGGTAGAAATAAAAAAAAGAAAAAAAGAAAAAGAAAAAAGTCTACCTGTTAAGTTATAATAAAAAGAGAAGAAGGGCAGGTCTCTTTTAATTCTCATATTTCTCTTTCTTTCTTATGTATTATTCAATATGAGAATGTATACATACCTATAGATTCCATTTTAATGAACAATTGAGATGCCTCGAGAACAAGTCGAATGGTGTACAAAACAATCATTGCATGATAATGATAATAAAATACATAAACGTCAATATTGTACGTACTGTTCAATTGTTAATATTAATAAAATAGACTATCCATATTCGAGTTCATTTGAACAAGAACAAACATGGACATTAGCACGAACAATGTCAAGTCATCATAAACGATATCAATCATCAATTGAAAATATTCATTTAACAATACCGCCTGTATCAAATATTAGTAAATCTTATTTATCGAATACAAATCATAATGATTATGATAATGAAAAAATTAAATTAGATCGATCTATTTCACTATTACCACCACTTCCACCATCACGACAACATGCAGTATCAATTCATCGTTTAAATCGTACAAATACAGATTTAAAATTTAATCAACAACAAACTTTAACTAATAATAATTCAAGTTCAAAAGTAAAATCTACTATAAAAAAAACGCAACCAACAGGAAATTTAATGCGTATTATGCATGTTAATGGAGAATTCATTGTGCGTATTTAAATAATTTTTCGTGTACTTTTATATATAAGAAGTATTATTCTACTTATCTTTGATAATTCTCTTATGTAACAGATGAAATTATTTATACATTTATATTGAAAAAAAAAAAGAAAGAAAGATATGGTCGTTGTATATTCAATACGAAGTATGATCAACTCATGTACACATTTTCTTTTTTGTATAATTTTGATATTGATCTCAAAATAAATGTTTTTCATAATAAATTAAATTTTTATATACAAATGTAAAATAAATGACAGATATCCTTTAGTTTTTGTTTTGTATGTTTGTTTCGAAAATCATTTACATGAAAATTATTCATCTAAACTCTCTTGCTTTATGCATAATATGTTCTGCGGCAAGACTTATATGTTTTTTTCGAAAATGATATTTTATTTTCTTTCTAACTTAAAGATTAATATAAAACTAATTAATGTTGTCGAAAAAAGTCAAAGAAAATTTTATCATTGAGTGATGTTGGCCATCTAGAATGTTGTATTAAACCTAGACCTAATTCACTGGTACATAATGGATTACATGTTGAAGTTATTTGACATAACGAGTCAATAATTATACCTTCAGCGATCAGTTCAGTCGGATAACGATTTTTTAAACCATTGATGAATGCCATACCAGTCACACAAATATTAATAACATCACATTGATTATATAAAATACGTACAGGTGTAAAATGAGATGGATAAGACGTTTGATTACATGGATCATGATAATCTTGATAAGGATCTGGTGCTGAATAGACAGCTGCTGCAGCTATTCCAGGTGTATTGAGTGCATATTCAACTGCCATTGCTGCACCATTACTCCAACCAGACATGAATATACGAGTTTTATTAATTTGAAAATCACTTGATGGATAATTAACGGTTTGATTTATAAAATAAATCAATTGCTTGTACATCAACATTTAAATTTTGATCAGATCGATTATAATTTCGATACCAATTATCCCATCCAAGTCCTTGATCATCTGGTGGAGGATAAATATGAGTTGTATTACGACCGAATGGTAAAAGTAAATGATAACCAAGTGGACCATCAGCTGTACCTGTTAAATTAGCTTTACTTGCTTCAACTACAAGATTAGTAAAAAGTATTGTCCCTGCTGGAAAGAACGATGGATGAAGCCAAACAAGTAGAGGTAATGGTTCTGACGATGGTGTAACGAGAAGACATGCTTGACGTGGATCACCATTCGAATCGGTACAATTAAGTGTTATAACATATCCTGATATATTAGCACATAAGTTTAGAATGGTTAATATGTTATTTAATGAAACAGTAGGTGTAGCCGGTTGATCACCATATTTTTCTGTACAATTCGGTAATGGACTTTTAGTTGTAAAAAGATCAATTGAACGACGATTTGGTATAGCCCATGCACTGAATCCATTGATAATATACACTATAAGTAAATGTACGATTTGCATAATGTGAAGTTAGATATAAATTGCTAATACAATGTTTTTTTGTCAATATCAATAATGAGAAAAAAAATATCGAATGAATATTTGTTTTATCTTATTCTTACGATAGAGCTAATCAACTAAAAATAACTTATTTTTTTGTCCTTATCCTTCAAAGGTAAAATAGTTGATATAATTGACAATTATGAATAATCGAACTAAATAGTTTAATGTTAATATAAATGAATAATACGTATAGCAGTTAAAAAGGACATTTATGCAAGCATTTTTGTAAAAATAAAAAAAAAAAATTATTGTCTTTCATTTATTGTGAAATAAATGAATGATAGACTAAAGAACATAGACCTTTTAATCAAAGAACAACGCTAATTGCAATTAATCATTGGTAGCCAAAGATTTTCTCAAACAGATGCGTTTTACTAAATAACTCTTTTGCACTTTATTTGTAGAACTCAAGAAAAAGCATTTTCTTGTGACGATTTCAGATTGTTCAATCTTCTTATGATGAAAACAATTTCTGAAAACATTAGTTTTTTTCAGATTATTTTTGTCTAGAAGAAATTACTAGTGCTTGTATGTCTTATGACGAAAATATTTCTATATGAAAGTGTGGATCTTCTCTTTAGCCACACGTCAACCTGAAGCTAATCTTTAATTGACTAAAAGAAAGTGTTCTCAAAAAAAAAAAACCACAACATTCCATTGATACTTATTTGACTTATTCTTTTCAAAAAAGCAAATGCCTTAAAAAATTTTCATTTTCATTCAAAACTAAAAACAACGTCTATGAACAATAGTTGGTCCATATTCATTATAATCTTGTTTTGTTAACCATAAATGTTGAAAAGTAGATAGTGTAGATAGAATACTACCACCAATCCATACAGAATATTTTCTTTGTGGTGGTGCAATGATTTTAATTTTAACAGATGTTGGAGTCATTCGAACAATTTCATTTTGTAATCGTTCATGAATATTTAAAAACATCGTTGAACCACCTGATAAAACAATATTATGAAGAAGTTCACGACGAATATCAATATCACAATGCATTATTGATGAATATGTTGTTTCATGTATGCCACGTATTTCTAAACCAACAATTGATGGTTTAAATAAAATTTCTGGTGCACGAAAACGTTCAGAACCAATATGAACTATTTGTCCATCAGGTAATTCATAATTACGTTCGATTATATTTGTTTTAATACTAGTTAATTTTTCTTTTTCATAATCAAATGCAACATAACATAATTTTTCTTTCATATCTCGAACAATTTCACGTTCAGCTGATGTTGTAAAACCATAACCACGTTTCATTAATAATTGAATAAGAAAATTTGTTATATCTCGACCAGCAAAATCAAGACGAACAATTGCATGTGGAAGGGAATATCCTTCATAGATTGGTACACTATGAGTTACACCATCGCCCGAATCAAGAACAACACCTAATTATAACAAAATAATTTATGTTATTCAATATTTGTGAATATACAGAGTCAATTATCAGCAGGTCACTTTTTCGGGTAGCCTGTTATCAATATATCACAGAATTTTGCTTGGGTACTCTGTTGATTTCGAATATCACTGTAAGAAATTCGTGAAGATCTTCCTATGTATATCAAATCATTTTTTTTGTAGAAAATACAGTCACTTTAATTATCCCAACAGATACATATCAACGTTTCAATGTGAAAATAATCAAGATGATATCATTTTATTTAAAGCTCATTTTTGAAAAAATAGAAAAAAAAATTATTGTCTTATTAATAATTAGATGTGTTCTATAATCTGATGAGAAAAGGTCTCTAAATGATACATCGCTTTTAAGCTGAGTCTTTATTCAATCGATAGAACGTAGTGAAATTCTGACTTGAGACTTTGCCTACACTAAGATCTTGATTAGACTCGTTTGTAGAAAAAAATTTCACAATTCTTTGGCAAAGTCTCGTTGATCTATGAATGTTTCAATATTTTTTCTACAAGCTAGTGTGATCAAGATTTTTATATGGGCGAAGTCTCAGGTCGATATTCAAAGGTATGATTTTGCTGACAAACTGACGTTCTTGGAGGAAAAGGCTACTAAGAGCTCGATATCGTAGCAAAAACGATTTATCACTAGAGAATCTATCCTCACGAGTAGATCCAAAACGGTTATTGCAAAATGTTTGTTAGTCTAGCAAATCAACATATAGATATCTAGCGAGAGATGTTTCCCAACTGGAAATCCCTTTTGAGTCGATGCTCTATACAATATGTATTCAAAAATCAGTTTTTTCGTTACCACAGCATTGATTTATAAAATACGATTAAAATGTGATGTCTACGCAGCAATAAATTAAGGATACGGACTCTTATCAAGATGTTCATAGTTCATTTACATTTGCATAATATACATTATCTCGATTCAGAAGCAAATGATCAACTGAAAGCATTCTCTCGTCAGTAAATTCATTAGAGTTATGACAATGATTAACAATACCCGTTGTTCGACCTGAAGAATAAAGTGAAAGAATAGCTTGAATAGCAATATAAATAGCTGGTATATTAAAAGTTTCAAACATAATCTACAATCAATTCTGAAAAAATTCATTTCGTTATTTTTTAAATATTATAATTATACTTGTGTAATTTTTTCTCGATTTATTTTTGGATTAAGTGGTGCTTCAGTTATTAAACATGGATGTTCTTCTGGTAAAATATGTAATTCATTATAAAATACATGATGCCAAATTTTTTCCATATCATCCCAATTCATAATAATACCATGTTCAATTGGATATTGAAGTGAAAGTATACCACGACGACCTTGAGCTTCTTCACCAACATACAAATCTTTATAACTCATACCAAGCATAATACTTTGATGTTTTGGTCGACCAACAATAGCTGGAAAAATAGCTCGAGGTGTATCTTCACCACTAAAGCCTGATTTACATGTACCTGTACCATTATCTTAATATATATGAAAGTAGAAAAAAACCGATATGAAATGAAGATATTGGATTTAATTATCTATTTTTTTTTTAAAACTATTTACCGATTACTATTGCACCAAGCATTACACAATAAGCAACATAATTGTATGACAAAACAGAAAATATTCTGTAAATATGATTGATTAAAGCGCCAAGATATACAAATACATTTTTTTAATATTTTTACAGTTGATCAATAGAATTATTTTTATTATCTCATATATTGAACGCAAAATCAAGATGAATTATTATGCAATAAGAGTGTGGATGTGGGTGTAAATAAAAAACACACAGCGACCCACACTCAAACCCCATCCAACACAACCCCATTGCAGAGTTGATTGCATAATTCGTTTGGATTTCTTCTGAAAATGCAACGATGACAAACAAGAAAAATCAACAAAGAACGAGACAATAAAACATTAAGACGCACAAAAGTACTTTTATTATTGTTGCTTTCACTGTTTTTCTATTTCGATTCGTGTCTGTACAGTGAGTAGCAATATGAAGGTAGATTGTGTAAATAAAGAACTGCTGAACAAAAATAAAATTGAATTCTTCTTCCTTCGCTCCTTTCCTTTGATGTGTTGGCATCTTATTAAGAACTTTTTATGGCTGCCTCCTCAGCGTTCTTCTATGCTGTTGACGAGTTTGAATCAATAAAAATGCATTGGAATTAACTCAACTATATTCATCAGATTAGATTCATTTCATTTCTCTTTATGTTTATTGATTTACAATCATCTAATATTGTTAGAAATATGATTAGCATTATATTGGAAAGATCGTTAAAATCGAACAAATGTTCAAGAATCAGTTTTCTAGAACATTTTAAAATATATCATGATGTAAGTAGAGATTTTTCAGAAGAATTCTTATTTTTGATAAAGTGAGAATGCGGCTATATATCACCAGCCATGATTGAGCCATATACAAGCACCATAATGAAGCATCTGAATATTACAGATGGCAACGACTTTTATTATGATTTCCGTTTCGAAAAAAAAGACATGATACAAAATGAAATATTTTCTATCAGAAATAAATATGAATTCTCGAATTATGTTCAGCTAGTACAGTAAATTACAGGGGTCCCAAAATTATAGAACCCTCCTTTACTTTTGAAAATTTTCAGAAAAGACGAATAGCTAGATCAAATCTAAATAGTGATTTAGATAGCCCTTGAAATTCTCTATCGAACATGGTATAGAGTAAAATTTGAAAAGAAACTTTATGAAGAGAATCGTCTCGAAAAACCGTGTCACTATAAATTCAAGTTTTCGAGAAGTTTGAAAAAAATACTTTTAAATACAGCCATCTAAAAGAGCAAAAAGTTCCAAGCAAAATGAACGGTTGCCCAGATCTCCATGATGTTTCGTTGCAAAGTTATAAGTATCGGAAAATTCGAAAAAAGTATGTTTTTAACCGAGTTTTTGCGTTTTTTTGATAAATTATACAATTTTTCGAATTTTCTGATGCTTATAACTTTGCAACGAAACATCATGGAGATCTGGGCAACCCTTCATTTTGCTCGGAACTTTTTGCTCTTTCAGATGGCTGTATTTAAAAGTATTTTTTTCAAACTTCTCGAAAACTTGAATTTATAGTGACACGGTTTTTCGAGACGATTCTCTTCATAAAGTTTCTTTTCAAATTTTACTCTATACCATGTTCGATAGAGAATTTCAAGGACTATCTAAATCACTATTTAGATTTGATCTAGCTATTCATCTTTTCTGAAAATTTTCAAAAATAAAAGGGGGTTCTATAATTTTGGGCCCCCCTGTACAATGTGTTGTTATATTTTGTACATTCACTGACCTATAACCAAAGCAATGAAATATACTGAACTTGAGCATTTTCATACATGTTTGTTTTTTCTAGATTATTTTTCGATTAACCATCAGTCAAGTACATACCGAGAGATCAATCCATGATCGAAATTGAAACAATAGTAACTATTTGGTTTTGTAGAAAAAATAACAGACATGTCGAAAAACAGATTTGAATCACATTTTCCGA